ACAGTAGTACATGTCAGAGAGCAAGCCAACAGTAATCATCCACAAGCAAAGACACAAGTGCACCTTTGCAAATGTTATAAAGATCTCCAGGGGCTGGCCAGAAGGACAGAAAGGACAGAAAGGAAGGTTTTTCTTCCTACAAACTTAACGTAAAATTTTTCGACACACTGCTTTGAAAAAATGAAATTGAGGCAATAAATCCCAGTTCCCTTATTATCACAATTATTAGAGCTAAAATTTTAGACAATAGGTATATCTGAGAATTGCTGAGTAAGATGTGAGCTACGGCCTCTTGTTTACAACTCAGTGCCATGCCTATGTACTTATGCATTGTGTCAGTATGGGTCAACATTTGTCTGACTTATTTTCTTAGGATCTGAAAGCCAAGCAGCCTCGTACGCGTGTGGAGTGTATCCGCCTCATATCCAGTCACCGTTTCCCACTCTCCTCCTGCTGGCCTCCCGCTGCAACAGTGGAACTGCCAAACAGTCCTCAGAGCCACTGTGAACACAGACCAGGAGGCCAGTCAGCACACAGCAGGGACACCCACAGGCCATGTTCCCTGTGGCACTGAGAAACAGGGCCGGCCCAGGTTCCCATTAGCATGGGTAAATTAAAAAAAAAAAAAATGTGGTATACATTAAAAGTGGAGCATTATCTAGCCACGAAGAAGGATTAAATTCCATCTTTTGCAGGATAGGACTGGAAGTCAATGTATTGAGTAAAGAACACCACGTTCAGGAAAACAGATACCCGCATTTTCTCTCAAGAGTCTTAAGCCAGAAAATAAACATCATAGACTGGCTGCCGGGCTCCTAATTTACCTCTTTCTCAGTTTACACATTCTTGAGCCTCACCTCTAACAATGCAGAAGGAACACGAGGCCCATACCACCACCCAGACTGCAGCTGAAAACAAAGAGCCCGGCTTTGCAGACCTGCTGCTTGGCGGCCCTTCACCCAGGAAGCTGCTCCAAGGCTGCAAACTGGCTCTGCAATGCCTGCATCCCAACGCTATGCAAATGGGCACTGGAGATGCTGGAGATGCCCCCTCAGGCGGCTGCTTCTGCCATGCTGCTGACCTGGCCACGGTGCTTTCCTTTTCCTGTATTAGGGGCTCAGTGGACTGCCATACTTGACTGCATTTAAAAACTGGAGTGAGTCTGTATATAAGTTTATGACTATCCCAACATCCCTAAGACTAAGGCAAAACCATCTTCCTAAAAAGGAACAAACAGAAAGACAGCACCCATGTTTCCTTCTGAAATAGATTCCTAGGAGAATAAGAAAACATTGTATGTCCTTTCTTTGTGAGTAAAAGAAAATATAAAAGATGGTCTCTATAGAGCTGTGGGCACAGGGGCCAGCATAGCAAGAAAATGCTACATAGAAACTAAAAATAATAGAAGCTAAAATGTGCTGGCAAGCAGGAAAAAAAGAGAAAAACTAGACACAACAAAAACATAATTAAGTTGAAAACACACTTCCAGAATTCTGCTCCTATCTACCTAAAAGACAAAACAATCCAACCCCTGGATACTCTTCTATAAAGAAAAGAGGGGGAGAAAAAAAAAGAACAATAGTGGATACACAAAAGAACAACATTTCTAGAAGACTAAAGTAGAAGGTTTTCTTCACAGATCCAAACAAAATAATGGAGAATTTAAAGCATATATTTATATCCACAGATAATCTGTAGTTATAGAGACATTTTTCTACCATATTTAGAAAGAGTTCTCCATAGAGATAAAAAATAGAAACACGTTGGCATTTTAACCTTAAGAATGTCACAAGAACTCATTCAAGTCAGCACCCAGTCAAAGGAACCAAGAAATTATTTGTAAGACCTGAATGAGGTGCTCTTTCCTGAGCTGTGAGTAGAGGCTGAGGAATCATTTCTACCAATGTTTTGCCCTCTGGAATTATTAAATTACCCAGATGATCTAATTTTTCCTGAGGCAAATCTCATAAATTATTTTATTTTTAAAAAGACCATTGCAGTGACTAAAATTTTTAAATTTATTTTAAAAATACTGACTGCCTATTTCACAGGAGATTTTATATATATATATATATATATATATATATATATATATATATATACACACATACATACATATATATCATTATTGTATAATTTAAGACATCATCACATAATTAATTAGACAGTTTACAAGGGCTATTATTTTAGGATAACTAGTTAAAACAACTGGGATTGTCAAGACTACATAAAAAAAATCAAATCAAGAAGAGCTATGATGCCTCACAGTCAATTAGGCAAATTCTACAGCGTTGAAATAAATGCTGAAAGGACTCATGATAAAATTCAGCACAGATACAGATGGGCCCCTGTAAGAACACACATCAGACTGTCATGATGAAATTAAACACATGGCTTCTGATTTGTTTGGCTTCCTCTCGTTCTAATTTGAACAATGTGTGTACAAAATATAATACACATGAGTAAAAAAAAAAATTTAAGTGTTTATATACCAAAACGCAGTGAGCTATGAGAAAGCAGACGTGAAGAGAGTCACCCCTCGACATCCATGGCACACTGATTTCAGGAACCCTTGAGCATGCTCAGCGCTCTCTGGAAAGCAGCATAGGGTCTGAGCATGTACACAACTGCACCCAGCTCCCACTCTCAATAACCTCTAGATTATTTTCAATACCTAATTTAACACAAACACTATGGAAATACTGGCAATGCTTTACTTTGCAGGAAACAATGGCAAAAAAAAAAAAAAAAAAAAAGCTCTGCATGTGTTCAAAACAGATACAATTTTTCCTTTAAACACTTACGATATCTGTACCTACAAACATCTGGAGCTAGACGACCAGTGAAGAATTGCTCCCCCAGGACACAGGGACAAGGCACAGCACAGGTTCTGTGTCAGGACACATGCATTTTGCCCATTTGGAAGGACTTGGTTTAAAGCTAGTTTCCACTGTAATATATGTTACTGGCTTCCTACTGTTTGAGGCCACGTAGCCAGACGGGCTTCAGTTACTCCGCAATGATTTTGACACAAAATACTAAGTGAAAAGGGCAGGACACAACAGCATAGGTAAGTAGTTATAGACAGAGGTGTGAATGGTGAATATATTTAATGCATTTCATCTAATCTGGAATACCATCAGTTATAATGTGCATTTTCTATTTCACTACAAACGCCATGTTTCATTATGTAGAACTACACAGTCATCAAATGAATTCTTCTAAAACTAATTCTTACCCAGATTTTATTATGAATCATATAGATCTTTCCCTGTCTTTCTGTTTACACACCAGCTTTGCCTTTCAATGCCAATTCATAGTGAAATCACTTTGAAATAATTATTCCATACAGTTAATGACAACAATATGAACCGCTGTGACCAAGATCACAGATACTCAGAGAAAGAATTTTCCAGGACAGAGTGAGGGCCAGGATATAGTTTCAGAAACAACAGGAGGGGGAAATTACACCTTAGAATTAATGACCTGGTAGTATTTCAATGCAACAACTATGTAATCAGCATACTTTCAATAATTAGAAAGGTTTTCACATTTGAATGCTTATTTGGGCCATTATAGGTCTCCCTGATGCTCTGTCCTGGCCAGTGTCTATGTTCAAAGTAAGTACAGCAGAGGATGACAAATACAAGAGTCTGTGATTTTTTTTTTTTTTATATTTATAACATGATTCAGTTTGGGGATCTGTCTGTTTTGGGGGAAAGATGGAGCTGGGTGCAATCAGCTCAGGAAAGAGCCAGTACAGTAGCAAGGAGGCTGGGAGTTTTTCATGGTTAAGGGTTTGGTCTCTCTCTCTCTCTCTCTCTCTCTCTCTCTCTCTCTCTCTGATTCTCTCTGTGTGTCTCTCTGTCTCTCTGTGTGTGTCTCTGTCTCTGTTTCTGTCTCTCTCTCTCTCTCTCTGTGTGTGTGTGTGTGTGTGTGTGTGTGTGTGTGTGTGTGTGTGT